ATCCTCAGGCTGCCTGGAAGGCTGGTTGGAAACAGAAGTGCTAGGGTTCTTGAGAGCAGTAGTGAGCAGATGGTAGAGGTGCTTACTGATGGCTCACACTTCATGGTTCTCTCTCCCAGTGAGGACTTGTCACTGAGAAGGTGCTCCCCAGCCAGGAACGCCTGCCCCAGTCCCCCTCACACTAACTGAGTCATGAGATTCATTCTTGCCAATGGAGAAGGAGGCAGGTGTGAAGCACCATTGTCTCCAGGCCAGCGCAGTAAAGAGGCAACTGTGCCTTCTCCACGCTGGTACTCTTCTCCCAGTGTCATCGGCAAGCCTGCCTGTGTCCAGGCCAGACCAGCATTGGCATCAGGGACAACTGGGAAACCAGCAGGCATAAAACACATGAAAATCCTAGGAAAGTTCACAGGTTCTTGGCCAAGGCTGTAGGTTACAGCTAAACAAAGCTTGTGGACACACAAATTCAAAAAGGGATGCTCATTTGTACTAATTCTAGACACTGTGGCAGGCCACAGAGGGAGCCCTGTGGTGGGGTGAGGGCATTTGACAGCATTACAGCCAGTCCCCAGAGGTCATTGCTCCTGCACAGATTGACCTGGCCTGGGGGTCCTCACTTTTATCCAAGAAAGAAACACACATCATAAAGAGCAGCCTACTAAAGAGCACTCCTATCTCTATCCACATGGGGCAATCTGGGTGGTCTCATAGCAGAGAACAAGGCTGTTTCTAATCACTTAGCACACCACACACACGTGCACACACACAGGCACACCCCTGTTAAGGTATAACCATCCTGCCTTTTGCCCTGGCCAGCTGGCCTTTGCAACCTTGGCACACAACCTTGGATCTTAGCCTATGAAGATTGTAGGGTGCTGACTTAGCACAATATAAAAGGCAGGGATGAATTATTCACCCAATTCTGTTGTTCAAGTATATGCCGCCTTGTAACACTAACCAATTTTGCAACTTTCTGTGTCCGACTGCAGCCTGGAAGCCCATTCCTGGTTCATGACATCTCTGTGGAAGTGATGAGTGAGAATGGAGTCTATGAAGGCTCAAGCCAGGCCTCAGTTTTGCTTAATGTGTGTGACCTCCTTCTATCACATTAGTATCGGTAAGCGATACAGCTGTTCTTGGTCAGTGGTGGTTGGTTGGGATTATCGCCTTTCCCTTGCAGAACTCGCGGAGGTTTACCATGTGGAACTACATGGTCTGAAGAGTAAACTCCTAGGAACCAGCTTTAACTCCTAAGTATCTGGGCAGATCTTAGGAGAGAAGAAACCTCTGGGGGCTCCAAATTAGCCCCCCAAAAAACTCTCCATCTCCGTTAATTTACTCAATAGATATATGAAGAGCACATCTAGAACAAGTGCTGAACTAGCATGAGCCCCCGTCCTACTGGGCCCTTCACTTGACTTTGTCTATTGATCATGGGATTAATCAGGCAGAGCCTTCACGGTGGTGAACACTGCACTGGCAGCCCAGAGGTCAGGGAACCTCCCTGGGTGACTTTCAGGGATCCTTTCTGGAAACCAGCACACAAGAGGCAGGGGTGGCTATGAGTGTGGTGACCTTGTCTGCACCATCCAACGTGGATCAATATTCTGTGAATCTAGAGTTCTTCGACATTTTCCAATGCAGGCTAGACATGAGCAGTGTTTCTGGAATCTCAGTTCTTCTCATAATAATGTCATGATTTTGTCATAACAGCATACCATCTGTACTATTGTTAGCAATTTTCTTAAACTGGTTAATTCTGTTTACTTGAGCACACTTATTCAAAAAGGAAATTTCACACCTTTTCCATAAATGGAAGACCTGAATAACTTGTCATGAATTAACAGTAAGCATGGAAAACACGTCACTGTTTTTTTAAAAATTAAAATGATGGTAAAATTAAAAAGTGAATAAGGAAACATAAGCAATAACACCTCTAATTGATTTACAAAAATGTATACTGAAAAATAAGTTACTCAATGGGAAAACTGATCCATTGTTGTTCAGTTAGTAATATAAGGGCAGGGACAACCTTCACCACCTTCATGGCCACTAGACAGGTGATCAGGCTTTAGCTTCATCGAAGGTCATAGTTACTGCAGCCCTTTCCTTGAGTTTCAGGGACCTTCCTTTTGACACTCAGATCACTGGGGAGAAATCTCATCATGTTCCCAATCTCAAGCCCCTGCATGCTGTATTTTAATTAGGGGGTCAAACTGCCCCGGGTCACTTGGGTCCTAGGACTGAGTGAGGGTGAGCGCCTATGGCAAATTTTGACCTGAGGGTGAGTCCTGGAGGGGAGCACGGCCCCATGGGCAAAAGTCATCATCCTGAATGGCACTAACAACTGGTTTCCATGTCATCTATATCAGGCAATCACATGGGACTGCCCAGTTTAGCTCCTGCTGAGTAGGCATGTATTGTGAAAGTAGGGTTACCTATGGTAGCAAACACATCCAGAATTTTGGGAGCTTCTTTCTTGCTTGTGTAAAGAACTGGGGTGTGGGGCTGGCCCCATGGCCGAGTGGTTAAGTTCTCACACTCTGCTGCAGGCGGCCCAGTGTTTTGTTGGTTTGAATCCTGGGTGCGGACACGGCACTGCTCATCAAACCACACTGAGGCGGCGTCCCACATGTCACAACTAGAAGGACGCACAACAAAGAATACGCAGCTATGTACTGAGGAGCTTTGGGGAGAAAAAGGAAAAAAATAAAATCTTTAAAAAAAACAAAAAAAGAACTGGGGTGCTATTCAGGGCAACAAAGTGGCTCTCCTCCACTTTGTTATTCAAGGTTCTAACAAGGTCTGAAAACTTATTCTGTAAAGGGCCAAGTGGTAAATATTTTAGGCTTGGGGGTCATGTGGTCTCTGTGGCAACTTCTCAATTCTGCTGTTGTAGCAAAAGCAGCATAGACAATACCTAGGAAAAGGGCATGGCTGCATTTCAATAAACCTTATTTTAAAAACATGTGGTGGGCCAGACATGGCCCATGGGCTGGAGTTTGCAGACCCCTGATTTAGACCATGGCGGTTTTGCCATCTTTAGCTCATAGGTTCTAATGTTGTTATGGGTGTTTATTCCAGTCAGCTGAGGAGGGGAGGAGCATAAAGAAGTGAACATGGTTCCGGGGGGCAGGCATTTGGGGCCAGAGCTGCATGTGGCACTCCTCACCTCTGCTCACATTCCACTGGAAAGAACTTTGACATATGGTCAATCTAATTGCAAGGAAGGCTGGGAATTTCGTTTGTGTTGTGTGCCAAAGAAGCCAGGGCAGACTTTAATGGACAGTTAGCAATCCTGCCACAAATATTATCAATTAAATCACGTATTTGATATTAGAGATTTTTTTCTAATAACAGTAATACAAATGCATAACCACTATATAAATGCCTTAGTTTGTTGGCACACCATCTAAAATGATCTTGCATAACTCTGGGAACAAGTGTACTACACTTTGGTAAACACGGAGCATTTGCATTTCTGTGATTTAAATTCCAAAAGCCTGATTGTACCCAGTCCACACTTGCTAGGGCTACTCTCTAAAGGTTTCCTTCAGCCTTTTAAGAAGAAAGATTTAAACAGGTGAACCAGAAAGACAGATAAACAATTAGGCCCGAAAAGTTAAGATTGAATTATGTTCTGGAAAGGGCTCAGCAAACTCAAATTGTTATCATAGATTTCATTTTAGACATGTGGGTTTATACAGTGACCTCAACTACTGAAAGGGTTGTGTGTTTTCTTACCATGAAAATTTATATGCATTTATGCCCCAAACTCTCCGTGACTTCTCCTGATTATATTGGGCATTAACAGGTGAGCAGAATTTGGAGGAGCAGAGAGGAGAGGACATTAGCAGTGGTGCAAGGTGGGTTTGTGGGCTTCTTGGGGAGGTCATTTGGGCTGGTTGGGTGAATAGAGGATCCAAGGCTTGAATGCCAAGTGAAGGTAAGCTGACTCTCATCTCGGACAATGGGGAGCCATTGAAAGGCTTTAATCCGGGAAATGACAGCATAAAAAAGGCATTTCTGAAAGTAGAATCCAGCAGAAGCAGGCAAGCCATTGGAGAGGCCAAGAGGATTTCTCTGAATAGGAACCTCCCAGGCAATCACTGGAAGGGTAGAAGGTGAGCTCTCTTTTCCCAAGATGGCTAAACTCGCTGTGTGTCAAAGCTTTTGGCCTTTTGTGCTCCCACAGGCCTCAACGAGAATAATGACATAAGTGTCTCCAAAGTGCTGGACTGCACAAAGTTTGCTGGATCACAGGATCTATTGATGCTGTTCTCAGTTCTCACTTTAGAAGGTCATGGAAACCATGGGGAAGTTGTAACCCTCTGAGATCTCCCAAATCATTGTCTTTTCTGTCCTACTTGTCTACTTGTCCTTCTGTACCAGCAGGTCGGGAGCACATTGGGGGCGGGCACAAGAGTGTGTGGGAGGGTGAGTCAGTCCACAGTAACAGATCCCATCACAGGGTTCCAAGGGCCTTTCAAGTTCATACATATAAAATGTCATTTCAACATCCCAATGAGCATGAAAATCAAGACGTGTAAAGTAAACCCAGATACTCAAATTGTCCCTATCAAATTGGCAAGGATTTTTATCGTTATTATTTTAGTAGTCGTGGCAAGTATTGGAAATGATATCAACCCTGATATCAGTTTCCCCACATTAAACCCAGCATATATGGGGTTAAAACCAAAACACTCATTCCCTGCTTACTCTCTGGCTTCCTGGCTCCAGAATCCACTATCCTCCATGGAGACAGACATCGTCAAGGACAAGCACCTGGACTATCTCCTCCCGCAAAGAGATACGGGCTGGTGGGAAAGCTGCTGACCAGCAAGGTCATGAGCTCCCTCCTCTCTGCAAGTGTCTCAAGGCCAAAGACAGGCTGGTGGGAAAGCTCTGACCAGCAAGGCCATATGCTCCCCCTCCCCTACCTAAAACCCCAAATAAAAACCCTTCCTTTTAGCTTTTCGGGGAGTTTGGGATTTGAGCGTTAGCTGCCCTCTCTCCTTGCTCAGCGCTGTGCAAACAATAAAAGTCCTACTTTCTTCCACCACACCCGGTGTCAGAGATTGGTTTGCTGCGCAACGGGTGAGTGAACTCACTTCAGGTTTGGTAACAATTGGGCGACCCAGATGGGACTGTGTCCTAGGTGGATGTCTGGCCTGTGGCACACCAGCCTCTGGCTAAAGGCCTCTCTTGGAAACTGTCCTGCAGCTGCCTGAGCCCCTTGTCTCAGGGACAGCCCCAAGTGGCTGGCTGCTAGCCAGACGTCGTTGGCCCACGGCGCTTTTGCTTTGGTGGTGGAAGAAACTAGGTTTAGGACTTAGGAAGACGTCTCTTGTAAGTAGCTGGTAGTTTTTGTTTTTGTCTTTGTGTTAACCTTTTCCAACAGGACCGCCTGGAAATAATGGGTACCTGGCAGCCCTCTGTTCTCCGTTTGTTTTGAAGTCGCTGCGACGCCCCGGCCAGGTTTTGGTGAGTCCCCCGGGTGTGCACAGCCGAGGTCCCTTGTCCTTGCTCATCTGGGAAGCTCTGCATGGCGGATCTTCATTTGTTGGGCGCCCCCGAGTGTAGGACACGGACTAAGCTGGAACTGGAAGCTCTTTGGTTTTTGGTTTTGGTCTTTGCTTTGGCTTCCGTTTGTGGCCGAGGGTTTTTGGGAATGCGCGCTTGTTTGGTGTTTGTTGTCTGTCTGTTTGTCTGTCCTTTTAAAAGTGTTAACATGGGAGATGCTGCATCTATTCCACCTAAGAGCCCCTTGGGAAAAAGTGGCTGATGGTCGACCTATAGCTATAAGCCAATGTCTAAAGAGGGATGATTTTCTTTTGTAACACCACATGGCCACAATATTCTTTAGACCTCGGAAAGAAAACAATGGCCAAAAGATGGATCCTCGAGTTGGGAAGCTTTTTAGAGGGCTCTTATGATCAACAACTGTTTTATTGGTACCTACGAAAAGACCAAATTAAGAGGAAACTATAATGACTAGTCTTAAGAACTTAATCAAACTTGGGGTCTCAGCTTCTCGTAGCCTTACAGATGCTAATAAGAATGCTAAGTTAACAAAGAGAAATTAGAAAGGGAAGAGTCACAGGACTCGTCCCAATGGGATAAATGGAACAGATATGAATGAAGTTAAAACAAAGGTTGTAATAAAACACTGCCTAAGGTTGGATGGGCTAAGGGGACCCCCCTATCGGCTCCCCAACATTAGAGGACATCAGACAAACCTGTTCTATTTCCTCAGTTTGAAAAATGTAAAAGGTCAGGAGGCAAAAATCAGAGTGAGAAACCTGACCAACAATTGTTTGGGGCAACAGTTAGGCTACTAAGATTAATAAGACTATAAAAATTGAAGTGTTTAAGCTAATATTATACGAAGAGGTTATGTCAACATTGTCTGGATGTTTTCTTTGGGAATAAATGTTATGTCTAACTGGGATGCTTCCACTGAACAATATTGTAATACCAAAACTTGTTAAGAGAATTCTAATGTAAGTTATAATTAAAAGTATAAGGGTTAGTAAAACTAAGATAAAGTTTTGTAAAAATTGATGTACTTAAACGAGCCAATTACAGTTCACCCTAACTGATGTATGCAATTGGAAAAGCCAGCCAACAACCGGGAGCCTGTTTTAATCTTTTGAGGCTTCTAAATAAAATTAAAAATACTTTACTGCCTATTTAAGAGAAAATAATTAAATAATTAAACATGCCAGCAGCCGAACCCAAATCTGCTGCTTTTGTCTGTCTCTTGCTAAGCTTCCCAGCAAGCTGAGCTTCGCTTCAACTCCCCCAAAATGTATGATCTAAAATTGAACAAGTAAAAATAAGTAAACTTCTGAGATAATTTAGAATTGTAATGACCATTCTGAAAACCTATTTCAGAAGAGGATTCAAAATCTTTCATAATGGAATGCAGTCTTTAATGAATAAGCAAAAACTTCTGAGAGACAAAGTTATTTAACATGATATAAAATGATCTTTGATGAATGAAAGCCTGTTTAAGTTTGCTGGTTTCATTTAAAAATGAACATGTCTTCAAAGTTATCAGCATTGGCTATAATGCAGACATACAGCCTGGGTTTACTGGTCAAATGAGCTCATGTCATCTCTGTTACAAAATTTATCAGCAAAACTCATAACTCTGTATAATAGCTAATTTTGTTTAATGTCTCATGGAGGTTTTGTAGACAATCTAAATATAATTGTTAAGAACAGGTAAACTAAATAAATGTAAAAAATAAAAGTTTTTGGAAAAACTTTTTAACAATAATTATATATATAATTATATGTATAATAATTATATTATGATATATGTACTTAAAACAACTGAGGATGATATTTAACTGCTATAATGTCACATGAAGTTTTGAAGAGTAATTGTTAAAACTGGGTAAGAGTTTTAAGTACAATAATTATGTTTTATCGTCTGCGTACTTAACAGCTTCCAAAATCCTTTTGGAAACTTAAATTTTATAGCTTTACTAAGTTAAATTAAATAATAACACTTTATTGGGTATCTAGGTCATTTCCACAAAAGATAAAATATTAAAGGTTAACTACTAAGCATATAATTGTCTGCCTTTGGTTTCTTATATCAAAGAGACTAAAAAGTGCTTAGGTTTATTAATAAACATGTTATATGTATGCTGAGAAATTTTCTATAAGAAAACATATATTTCTAAAAGGTCTGTATACAAAGAAAGTAAAATATATGTTTTCAGTAAAAAGATATAAAGAATGGAAATATTTTTGTTTCTTCAGTTGAGAAAGATAAATTTGTCCTAAAGTCCTGGGACAAATTCTGAATGTAAAAAAGTAACCAAAGATTTGTAAAAGTAAAGCCCTAAAGAGTTTTAGGTACGGTCAAGTTGTCCAGGATTAAAGTAAATCCAATTAAGTAAATAAACTTATATGTCAAAAGTAAACTGGTACAAAATTAAAACTTGGTTTCCTCTTTCTTAAAAGGTTAATTTTCCTCAATTTTTAATCTTTTCTTGACAAAAAGATTATAGAAAGGCTTTCTTGACTATTTTAACTCTGTTTCCCCTTCACTGTTTCTGTTGTCACTTTGAATAGATACCTGAACATGGTTTTACAAGTGAACTTTGTTTCCTATCTGAACAAATGTTTTAAAGTTTTTAGTATTTTTGACAAGCTTCCCCCCTGACAGAAATATTCAAGTATTGAATAAAAGCTTTCTTTTGACCTGGAAGAGGAGAGAAGGTTTCTCTGGGGATTTTCAGAGGGTCCCTGGGACTTCTTGGAGAATTTTGCTCTCTTCCTATAAGAAAAGAAAGCTAAACTAATAAGGCTTATTTTGTATGTTAAATTACATGAGAAGCATTGTCAAATAAGTAATGATAAACTTTCTTAAATGATATTACGTAAATGAGTGTTATTGATATAAATATTTTAAAAATTATCTGACCTGTTCTGATTGTCAGCTATAATCCTGGTTATTATCTCAAAATGCTATATATCACAGACATGGTCAAATGCCTTTGTCAATTACCATTTTTGAATGTTTTGTTATTTATGAACAATGGCTATTTTACTTTGATGTTTTTGCAAATACGTTTCATCTGCAGAGAAATTCATGGAAAGGACTCTGACACTCTAGAATACAGGTTTCCAATAAACGTTCAGATTGCAAAACCAAACTGGGTAAAAATTACAGAACTCCAACAGAGAAACTGATGACCTCACAAACTGCTGACAGAAGATTAAGATCAAGAACCAATTACACAGGACAGAATAAACTGATAGGGATGATTGTAATTTTTATGACTTTTTGATTGAGATATTGCTGATTTTTGATATTTTGCTCTTTTTTAGAGTTAAGAAAACCTTTTCCTCTATTCCCTTAAAGAACTATGACTTACAGCAATTTATAAACAAAATTGAAGCATTTATCTTTTCCTCCCTATGTGAGCCCTCCAAAATGTAAAAACCCCTGATGAGTAAGTATTCTTATTCTTATGGCAATTTGGTTGTTTGCATAAGTCCAATAAGAATCTGTTCTTCTGTTAACAGGACACAATTGGAAACACTGGTTATATTACCAAGGCTTTGACTGGAACATCATATTTGAAAAAACATACAGGCTTGGATATAACAAGACAGCTTTTTGAGGAATGAAGGTTGACATTCTGGAGTAAAGCCACTTGGAAATATTGGCCTGGTACTGTGCTTATGGATTCTGTAACCTGATAAGGTTGAGCAAAGAATGTCGTTCCCTCTGGCAGGTACAAGGAACCTCAATATTTTGGGGAACCTCGTGAAGAGAGGAATTCACCCAAATCTGCAGGTGCTGAAGGCAGAATGTGATAACAGGTCCTTTGCTTGGCTTTCCTTGAGAGACCTTTAAAGTTCAACCTGAGATTCCTTATAAGGTTCCAGCAAAGCAGATTAAAAAAGAGCCTATATGGTCAACTACTATTCTTGCTGTACTTATGCAAATAATTATGCCAAATTTATTAAAACTAAACATTGTGCAAACCAGTTAGTCTTAATTTGGCTATGTCTAGTGAAATTGAGGGTGATTTTAGGGAGGAAGATTATGTTTCAATAGAAACTATAATACATGTTTATAGATATTAGATTTTAATTTTTTCGATTACCTTTGAAATTTTGTTTCACTTCTGTTAACTGGACTGGACCTTGAATTCTTTTAGTCTCCTGAAATATCCGGCTAAAAATCTCCAAACTAACATTTTCAGGGCTTTTCCCCATTATTTTTATTTAGAGTCATTGAAAACTAAATCTGTCCTTTTCCTAAAGCTTTACAAACTGAAGCTGGAGGACCTAATATAAACTTAAAAGAGATTCATGTCTACTGCTGTGTAAGCCACTCAAAAGTCTATCTGAGTGCCCGATGACACCATCAGAGACATTTCAAACTGCAAAAGATGCTTCGACCCTGACTTCTAGGAATCTTGATTGGCTGCCCCCTGGGCTCAGAAACTGGTTTATAATTTGCTCCAACCATTAACCTTGTTTTTCTCTTTTTGTTTCTCTAGAAAAACTTCTTAATAAATACCTGGTTACTTACTTACATGATACAGGCCTAACTTTGGGAGCCCACCAGCATCATCGCCTTATTAAAAGACTGGTTCAATGAGATGAAACAACCTACGCCCCATTTCAGCAGGAAGTAGCTAGATCGGTCACCACCCCAAATCCCTCAAGATTGAGGGATGGACATAAAATAGGGGGGGAGTTGATATCAACCCTGATACCAGTTTCCCCACATTAAACCCAGCATATATGGGGTTAAAACCAAAACACTCATTCCCTGCTTACTCTCTGGCTTCCTGGCTCCAGAATCCACTATCCTCCATGGAGACAGACATCATCAAGGACAAGCACCTGGACTATCTCCTCCCACAAAGAGATACGGGCTGGTGGGAAAGCTGCTGACCAGCAAGGTCATGAGCTCCCTCCTCTCTGCAAGTGTCTCAAGGCCAAAGACAGGCTGGTGGGAAAGCTCTGACCAGCAAGGCCATATGCTCCCCCTCCCCTACCTAAAACCCCAAATAAAAACCCTTCCTTTTAGCTTTTCGGGGAGTTTGGGATTTGAGCGTTAGCTGCCCTCTCTCCTTGCTCAGTGCTGTGCAAAAAAATAAAAGTCCTGCTTTCTTCCACCACACCTGGTATCAGAGATTGGCTTGCTGCGCAACGGGTGAGCAAACTCACTTCAGGTTCAGTAACAGAAATATATGGGAAAAAATAAAAACCTTCACCAATGATGAAAGATAAACTGGTACAGGCATTCTTAGGGGGCAATTTGGCAAAATATATCCAAATACAGTCATCCCTGGATATCCTTGGGGAGTTGGTTCCGGGATCCCCTGTGGATGCCAAACTCTGTGGATGCTCATGTCCTTTTGTAGGCGCTCTGTATCCACAGATTTTGCACTTCGACATTCAACCAACCTCAGATCATCAACATAGAACTCCATCGGCGGGGCCGGCTCCGTGGCTGAGTGGTTAAGTTTGCGTGCTCCGCTGCGGCGGCCCAGGGTTTGGATCCTGGGCGCGGACATGGCACCGCTCGTCAGGCCACGTTGAAGCCGCGTCCCACATCCCACAACTAGAAAGACCTGCAACTAAGATATACAACTATGTACCGGGAGCGGGGGCGGTGGGTTGGGAAATAAAGCAGAAAAAAAAAAAAAAAGAACTCCATCGGCAGTTGGTTGAATCAATGCATACAGACAGCTGACAGTACTTAAAGGGGGAGAGCAAAAGGTGCTCTCCGTTGCCCCAGCCGTTGTCCCTCCAGGAATAATTCTAAATGAGCCTAAAGATGTGCATGTATCAGATGGTTCACCTCAGTGATATTGACAGTAGTAGGAACAATGAATTAACCTGAGTGACCAACAATAATAAATGGTTAAATAATTTATTAACTATTCCTACTATGGGATGTTATATAGCTGTCAAAGTAGATACATATATACTTTTGTTTCTAAATGTTCATTAAAAATTCAGTTGGCCATTTCCTACTAAAGAAAAAGGATTGGACATTGCATTTATTTTCACTCTCTACCCAAATTCATCTAGAAGGACAGTAAAATAAAGTCTTTAAAGGCACAAGCCCACAGGGAATAAACAGAATGCAAGCATTTTGGAAGCTGGAAGATGGACAGAGCAGTGACGACTACTTTCTGAGCAGGGAAAGTAACAGTCAAGGCACAGGGAGGAGGGAGCCCACACACACACGGATTCAAGGCAGAGGCAGCAGAAAACTCTCTGGATTGAGAGCTGCCGGGTACCTGTGGAAGCAGGTGCAGGCATCCCTCACCTACGCACACGGCGAGGGCAGCTCTCCCCTCTGAGACCCACCCCCAGGCCACAGTCCCCACAGGTGCTCTGCCTCTGCCAGGCCTGGAACTGGATTGAATCCCGGGAATCTGATCACCTGATTACAGCAGAGTATCCAAAGGGCCTTGGCATAATCAGCATAATGTGATTTCTGTCCAGAGATCTGAGTGTCATAAAGAAGTTCCCTGAAGTCTAAGGACATTGCTGCAGTGACAGTGACCCCTGAAGAAGCCGGTGTCTGGTCACCTACCTAGCAGTCATGATGGTGGACAAGGTTGTTTCTGCCCTTATGTTACTAACTGACCATCAATGGCCCACTTTTCCCATTCAGTGGCTTATTTTCAGGAATGCAATTTTGTAAATCAATTGTTGCCTATAGTAAAACTAAACAAAGAAAGGTACACTAATTAATAAGAATAAAAGTGTAGAGACTTTCAGAAAATACCAAGTCTTGACAACAATAGAGAACAGCTGGAAATCTCTTACTCTGCTGAGAGGAGGGCAAATTTGTACAACCATGCTGGAAAACTTTTTGGAGTGTCTACTGTAAAGTTGACATCTGCAACCCCTGTGACCCAAGAAAGCCACTTGTAAGTAAATATCCAAGAGAAATGCATACACACAGTCACTAAGTGACATGTTCTAGAATATCCAAGGGAACTCTTCATAAAAACCTAAAACTGGAAACCATCCAAGTGCCCAACAGCAGTAGAATAGATAAACTTATGTCACATTCACACAAATAACGACTATCCAGCAATGATAAAAGAACAAACTACAAGCACACACTGTATGGATGAGTGTCATAAACATGATGTTGAGGGAAAGAAGCTGCACAAAAGAGTACATGATTCTGTTTCTATGAAGTACAACACCCAGAAAACTGAAATATACTGATAGAGGTCAGGGTAGTGGGTACCTTTGAGGGTGATGGGGCAGGAAGAGGGGTGGTGGGCATGGCCTGGAACTGAGCTCAGGATGGAATCTGGGATGCTCATCATATTCTTTGTCTTGATCTGGATGCTACTATACAGGCATGATTAGTTAGTGAAAATTCATAAAAATTACTGCTTTGTGTATTATATTCACTTAAAAAAATCAAAAATTTGTACCAGTCTTAAGAACTTACTGTTTAATAGAGGAGAGAATACTGTTTTGGACAAAGTTACTGAGAATTTTATAAATCATAGCAATAGAATACAATATAACAAGTCAAATGTGCAATTATTTGATTCTGGACTTTATAGCATGAGATACACAAATCCTACTTAACCTTACCTAAAGCATATATTGAGTACATTGGCTCTCATATTTGAAAAGTCTAGGAGGTAAATTGAGCTTCAAATGTAATTTTATAAAAGGGCACAGGTAGATAGATGATAGATGGATAGATAGATTGATGGATAAATGGACAGATGACGGATGGATGGATGGATGGGTGGGTGGATGGATGGAAGGTCAGCTAGACTGGTAGATAAATTCATTATCAATCATCCCCCTGTAAAGAAAGAACTCTGTTTCCTACAGGTCAAGGTTTAAAAGCTGTTCCTCTAGGCCACCAGGGTGTGTCCAGAAACCTTGCCAATATCAGCCATGATGCCCACTGGGCTGGGCCCCTCCCCACCACTGAACATTCATGGTCATGCTGACACCACACCTCTCCTGGCCTTTATCCTCCTATCCATCCTTTAAGTCCTAACTTCAGTTCCAGTTCATCCAGATAGACAGCAATATCTTTGCGAACAAATTCCCTTTTATTGGCCAGGAAAGTGCCAAGTTAGGTTATCTCCCCAGCCCCTCTTCCCTGGGAATAAGATGACGCACACCCTTAACACAAACTTCCAGCAGAGCACAAGGGCCATGACCCCGTGGGTCTGTCTGAGCTGGGGGAAGGGAGGCTCACCCTGTAGATGTGTTACCTGGGGTGCGCCAGGCAGGGCAGCTTCCCAGGTGCAGGGCCTCAGCCCACCTCCCTCCCCCCACCTCTGCCCAGGGGAAGCCCCTTACTTGCAGCCAGGGCTACAGGCTCACAGGGAGGCGAAGTGGGCCTCGGGGTGGGGCAGGCAAATTAGGAAAGAAAAAGACTGTGGGCCCAACCTCTGTTCCGCCTGTGAGTCTAGTCATTTCAGTCAGAATTTTCAGGTGATGGATTGTACGTTTCCCCTTTCCAGATGTTACAGGGAAAAGGGACAATGATGAATGGTACTGTTTGTAATTTAACTCTTTCCTATGGTTTTCTTCTCAGTTCAAGTTCTACAGTATCACATCATCAGCGCCCCAGGAGCCTCAGATGGAGAGCTTTTTTCCTTTGTATTGCTGTCCTCTGCTGGACATTACGACACTCACAGGTAAAGACTGATTTGGGTGGTCTCCAAAATTTTGTTTTGGTTTGCTTTAACTGGTTCAGGCCCAAAGTCGTTTGGAAAAAAACAAAAAGAAAGGGAAGGATTTTCTGTAAACAAATAAATTGTTTAATTTACAACAAGAGTGTAATTAAATATTTTATGTTTTACCATGATGTAAAAGCAGAGGTGAATTGTGAAATACATGCAGCCATGTTGCTGAGGAGGCTGAAGTGATGGGACGCTTTAGGGAAGTGAATGTGTAGAACACAGGAGAGAATTTACAAAGGGCGTGGATTTTGACCCAGTCCGTCTTCTGCAATTCAGATGACAGATATACTTTTTAAAACTAAAAGTACTCATTCCCAAAGTTGCTCATCAAATTGTGCCCGTGAAAGTCCAGGAGCAGCTGGTGGCTAAAGAGATTGTGATGGATCCTCATCAGGCAGGTATGCAAGGCGATTTTTGGAAAATCCTCTAGCATCGTGGAAAATGCTTATGCCACACTGTTAATACTCAACAGTTCTTAATCAGGGTGGGCATTGAAAGCCTAAAAACTGAAAATGTAGATTTTCAGGACCCATCCCAGAAGATTCTGCTTCAGTTGGACTGGGGAGGGACCTTGGTATTGGAATTTAGGAAATTCCTCCAAGTGAGTCTTCTCTTACAGCCCACAGAAAACCCTGAGTTCAATGAGAAAAAGCAGGATGCCAAGTGGCATTGATATTTCAACTTTAACTCAATAAAACATCTGATTGCATGTGGACGGGAACAAGGATGGAAGTAGGCCCTGTATCAGCATGACTTGGAAATATTCTCCTTCTTTGCAAGACACCTATTTAAATTAGACCCATATTTGAGGATGCTGGGACTGTGAGAAGGATATAAATAATACACGTAATGCCATTGA